CTTTTTGTGTGAATTCCGAAATCCGAGAGAATTGATTGTGGTTGAATCAAATCGTTATGTGAATCCGTTAGGGTGTTTGAGTAGAAGTAATTCCGATCTGGTATATCGACGAACAAAGGCCATAATAAAGACAAAAAATCCTTCAAATTTGATGAGATGTGATAACACGAGATTGTAGCGCAGCCAGTCAAAGGGCGCGCGTATGTGTTGGTTACCCTGGATGTTTGTCCCCGTCCAATGGGCTTATGATCTGATGAACTGGATACCGGCCCCCAAATGGATTGCGGTTTTCACACATCGCCCCGTTGCCTTGCGAGTCAGACTTTGGTTAGTCAAAAGCTGCGGTTGGGAATTTCTCAAGAAAATTTGCTTACTTTGGCAGTATCGTACCGATGAGCAAATCGTGGACACTTAGAAAAAAATATTGTAACACGATTTGTTTGGCACACTGTCTGGCGACAGACATGTGTGAAAAATAAATCCTTGGTAATACGAGAATTTTACGCCCTAGTTTGTGCATGAATGTTGTTCGAGTAGTACCCGGAAATACGGTCGAGGTTCGAAGTACGAAGTGAAACTGCTCGATTGCAATTTCCAGATGGTTGTGACGATTCTGTTCCATTACGAAACTTGGCCGCCGCTACTGCTACTGCACTAGAATACCAACTGGTGCCAACCAATCATAAACAACATAAGGGGTTGGACGATGTCTCCAATTATGTTGACACTGACAAAGAAAAAAATTGCCATAAGTTTACTTCAGTAGGATTTCGTTCCTACTTCTGTGCAATCTCGAAACCTAGAATTGTACACAAGATAGCATTACAGGCCGTGTATACCTCTTTATCATTTAAAGGTGATACCTTAGCAGAGATTGTGCATAGAAAATGATCACATACAATCTGCGAAATTTTCCACCATGTTCCACGCTTCATTTGAACACCTAGTCCGTTGATACAAATAAGGTTGAAGAATAAAATGTCTGATTCTGCTGCCGTTTTCTGTATTCACTTGCTCCTATAGAGCAAATCAAATTGTCCTCACCGCCGGGCGTCTGTCCGAGTGTATCCGTGTGCACCACGTTGCGTGACTGAGCAGTTGAGTTACGAGGTTTATCTCAAGTGCATTGGTTTCGCACCTTGTTGAATACTAATCACATCGTAAACATAACTAAAGCCTATCGGGCCCTTGATAGGGCACTTGTGGTTTTCTTATTCGGACTGGGACGAGAGCAGTTAGCATTTAGTCTTTAACATCCCATTCTACGTGCTAAAAAGCAATTTGTGCAAGCTCTTAGGTTCCCGTGGCCAAATTCCCGGTCCCGGACCAATGTTCCTTGACCCGCTCAACGAAATCCTCATTGACAACTGGGAGAATTTATAATCCAAGATTTTGAACATCCAAATTTCTATCCCGCTACCGTTTTAAACACCCAGGTGTGATTGTTCGTGCAACACCCTGACACTTTTATCAAATTTTTTCCTCTCAACCGGTAGTGTTCCGAGCCACTTTCACGGGATTGAATAAGATATTGCCTCACATCAGACGCAACATCTATCTGCACTAATATCCACATTTTTCTTTTGTCAATAAAATGTTCGATTTCTTGATTTAGACAATGGTTGCTGGTGCATCAGTTGTAGAACAACAAAGTGTCAGTAGAAAAATCTTTAGAATTTATTATTAAAAGTGATACACAAGCATGTTGCAGGTAGCGTACTTCGATTTCCTTAATGTTCCATTTTCCCCGTATTATTTTTTAAAAATGGAGCCTGTCGTTTGTGCACGGAGTGCGCCAAATTGATTGTCAAACACTTGTTTCCAGTTTCCTCTAATACGTGCCGCACCCTGACCACCTACGACCATTGCCCAAGTAGCTAACTAATTTCGGTTTCCAAAATAGAGAAAAGTTTTCCGTTATTTTATCCTTTCATTTTACTTCCTTTTATTGAATACAAAGATACAATTTTCAGGAAAGGATAAGCGGCCAGTCAAACGGGGCTTGCCATTCAACACACACAATGGGAGAAGTCAGGTGTTGGTGGTGGTGGGATTCGAACCTACATCCCCGTGGGGTGATAATTTGGTGACCTTTAGCATCGGGCCACCACCACCACATTACGTTCAAATCTCAAGTGCTGGACGGTAACTGAATACATGCAACATTGGTCGTGACCCATTCAGAAACTGCATAAATGTGAAAACAATATAATATTCAGTGAGGTATAAACGAATTCTGCAACCATCCTCGAACGAAAAGTTATACTAACCTTTATATAGGATATATATATATGTTTTCTGGTACGGGAGTGATTTGGAAGCACACAAAATGAGCTTGTTTCACGTTTGTGGAAGTCTTGAATGTGCTGAAAGCCTTTAAGTCTAACAAAGCACATGGCCCTGATTCATTGTCCCCCGTCCTGCTGAAAGAATGTGCTGAACAACTTGCTTCACCTGTTTCCCAGTTGTTCAGTTGTTTGTGTATGTCATCTGGAAGCATCCCTGATTGTTAGAGAGCTGCTCAGATAAAACCAATCCAAATATCGACCGATTGCTTGCTCATCAGCACTATTAAAAGTTTTAGAAAGAGTTCTTCTGAACTGGCTGACCCTTTCATGTGCCACTCATGACCTTATTCAGTTTGCTTACAAACATTCGTTTTCCAATCTTCATACTGCTGCTCACATTGTTCACTCCGTTTCATCCTTATTGGATAAAGGTGCTGGCATCGTCCGCCTAATTTTTCTTCATTATGCTAATGCTTTCGGATCACTTGACCGCGGTATTCGCATTCAATGTCTTTCGGATTGTGATCTGGCACCTAATTTACTGAATGTACTAAATAATTACTTCACTCATAGGACGCAATTCACCTTTTGTAACGGTAAATCGTCCTGCCTGCTAGAAATTAACTCTACAGTTTTTCAGGGTGCAATTTTGTGTCCATTTCTTTTTTCACTGCACATAGAGGACCTTCCCATCCCTCCCAACTTTACCGCCCGCAGGTATGCAGATGACGTGGTGGTCGGTTGTCCCTCGACTGATCCTGACTGTTTCTGTCAATTTCAAGTTTGTCTCAATAAGTTTTTTAGTTGCTCGACCCCCCCCCCCCCCCC